CGATATGGACCGAAAATCATATCTTGATATTTTTAGCTGAACCGCGATATACGATATATATCTCAATATTTTTATCCCATAAAGTAATAACGGATAGACAGTTCCAAGTCAGAGCCAAATGTCCTCAATGTCATACGGGCACTTTTATTTACAGACAGCTGTACATGTACATGGAAAAAATGGTTAAAAAATGTCGATTTGTCCTACCTTACTGCATTTCGTCAGATCGGTGCTACCTTACCGAAAATGTTATTGTCATTTTTATGGGCTGAAACTGAAAGCGGACAATACAAAAAATAAATACGTAACTTGTCTATCTAAAAAACACGAACTATGTAATGTAAGCAGGTATTGTGAGTCTGAAATACCTTATAAGATTAAGTGTTAAAACATGTCAAGTAATTCGACATACAGCATAGTAAATCAGTGTGATGCTGACAGTAAAGTGTGATCAATGTATTTAATAAAATATTTAAAATGTATGAATATTGAAAACGCAGAAATAAGGCATGACCACAATGCAAGGTAGGATAGATCCATGGGCAGTTCTTCCAACGTGAGAAAAGGGGCTTGATTTCATTGTACGCATGCGCAGTACCCAAAGGTAGGACGTTTCCATAGGTTAGGATGAAATGTTAGAACACCGGCATATATTATTTTACCAACCAGAGGGGTATTTCACTAAGCAGGATTTCTTGCTTAGCCGGATAACTTGTTGGATTTATGGTAATCTGGGTTAAATGGACTATATAATCGTCCACTTAAATGTAGCTCAGACTACCTTAAATCTGACAAGTTATGCGGCTAAACAAGAAATCCTGCTTCATGAAATACCCCCCAGCTCCTCTTCGCTAGCTTGCCTCATGTCTGTGCCTGTCCATGTTGTCGCTGCATGCAGGACTTGTGAGTGAGTGAGTGGGAGGGGTGGGTTGTGTTTGGAGAGGGAGAGGGGCGGGGCAGGGCACAGCTTTGTAAGAGACAGACACGGTGAGGAGATACAGACCAAGTGGCGGCGCTATGAATATAATTTTAAAGCAACAAACTATATCGATATAAACAATATTGTCTCATCATATATCTTGTATGAAAATATATCTATATATCATAAAAACCCAATATATCGCCCAGCCCTAGACAGATGTTTTTCCAACCTTTGCAGCCACATTGTATGGGTGAAGATCTGGAACTGTTCAAATTTTGAGACAAATCTCAAAATTGAAGCAACGGAACTTAGTGATGGTAAAGAGAACGATGAGTTAAACAGAGGCTTGTTCTTGTGAACTAGATCGCACCATTTGTTATTACCACCGTATTTACTCTAGTTGATTTTTGATTGGTCTTATTACCACTTAATAAAACATTATAATACTGCATTGACAAATAGTGGAGCAATTACAGAAAAATAGTTCCTCAGGATAGAATTGCAAAGAGGTTGGAAATATCATCATCTACAGTACATAATATAATCAAAAGATTCAGAGAATCTGGAGAAATCACTGTGTGTAAGGGACAAGACCAAAAAACCATACCGGATGCCTGTGATCTTCGGGCCCTTAGGCGGCACTGCCTCATAAATAGGCATGATTCTGCAATGGAAATCATTAAATGGACTCAGGAATATTTCCAGAAAACAATTTCAGTGAACACACCTCGCCATGCCATCCGAAGATGCCAGTTAAAACTGTATCATTCAAAGAAGAACATGATCCAGAATCACCGACGTCTTCTCTGAGACAAAGCTCAGCTTTACCTAACTGATTTCTGGTCTTTCCCAGTGTGTCCTGCTTCACCCTATTCTTATGTACTGCTGTCTTAGAAATTTTGAACCTGGAAGCATCCTGCTGCTCAGTGTAGCCTTCTGCCAGCAGAACCACGATTAAACTAGGATTTAACAATGCAGATTTGTTGAAAAATATAGAGTGGTCTCATAATTTTCTCCAAGGCTGTGTGTGTGTGTATGTGGTTTTTTATAATTACAAATTTCCCCACAATGTGTTGAAAACCTGAAACTTCTACCTTGTGGGGACATTTTTTCAGTCACCATAAGGATAACCTCAATTTTATAAAAATCTGTAAATGCATTCAGAAAAACTAAAGTCTTATTTTGTTTGGGTATTTATGGTTAAGGTTAGGGTTGGGGTTGGAGTTAAGGTTATCATAATTGCGTTATCCCCATAGAAATGAATGGAAAGTCCCCATAAAGTCCACAAAGCAGATGTATTTTCTGTTAGCGTATTCCTATTCCTTACCCTTACAAAGGATTACCACCCTTGTTTCCCATCCTAGAGATACAGTGAAGAGGCACGTCAACCAGGTCACTCTAACAGCGTCTAATGCTTCAAATATTTATGGCTGGTTTTCAGCTACCCGTGTAGTCTTTGCATTATGGAAGCCTCTTACCACTTATAGCTGTAGTGAGAGAATCTGGCCCAATAGAAGTTTCCAATACTGTCACCTGGTTAGAAGGCAATCCATCTAGGTAAAGCAGTTTATGAAAGTCTTATTTCTACGACTTGACAATTTCCACTGAGTTGGTCAACACTTCCCTTACCATGGCTGACCCACAGCCCAGGTAGAGTCCTGCATCCACCGGTTCAGGCTTAGAATAGTTTGCCAAAATATTTTTGCGGTTAGTCTTGCTCCACGGACTCTTCAAACTTTTCTCGTGTATGAGCTTTCATACTTGTCACTGCAAGCTATTGCAGCCGTTCTTGCCTGAGGTGCAACTTGAATTCATGTTGCATGGAAGCCTCAGGCGTTCGCAGCAAATCCAAACTGCTCTGAACTGGACAATCCACGTCTTGCGCAGAAATCCAGTAACGCTTCAACACTTGGGTTTAGATCTGGGAAGCCATTCTTCCCAGTCATGTCCCTCCAGGTATCTCCACCATTCCCCACATGAGCATTGGCATCTTCCAGAAGAACCACAGAACACTTCACGAATAAGATGGCTGGGTATGCTTTGCTCCTCATTCATTTTTGTTAAATTTCTCAAAAGTGCACCACACTGCCTATGAGAGTGATGTAGAGCTCATGCAAAAGTAACAATGGGAGACATTAGACAGATTTTTTTCCAACCAATACTGGATAGTTTTGAAAAAGAAGAATCTGAAAAGCTTGTTAAGTTTTTGTTTCCTATCGGTCCTTGGAGTGTGACAATTGCATGTGCAATTTGTGCAGGCCTGTTGTGCACCACATTTTTCTCTGCTTTATCTTTTTTTTCTGAGCAGTTAAGAATTGGAATTCAAGTCTTCAAAGACAATGTATAATTAACTGATCTATTGCTTTGTGAGTTTACACAACATCATATTTCTGTAGGTACCAGCTTCCTATTGTCCAAGTCTAGAAAAATAACATGTCACCCTAGATTATTTTGTTTTTTAGTCTTTTTATGCCAGGTACAAGATCATATATTAGTGTACTCTTCATATTTAGTGCAATAACTACTTTATAGCTTAGAGTGTATTGTTAATGATTTTCAATAAGACCTTGGGCCTGTCACGAAACCAGATTTCTTCCTTAGTCGGATAACTCATCAGATTCAAGCTAGTCTGGGCTAAGTGTAAGTGAACGAAGATGTAGTCCATTTGTCTTAAATCTGACAAGTCATCTAACAGAAGAAGTCTTATTAAATACAGGCTCCTTCTCTGGATTTTTATTTTAACTTCCACTGTTATGTTCATGATACCCATATTTACCTCAGCCCTAAATCGATCCATTCGACACCCCTGTCCCAAATTGAAATTTGCTAATCTGCAGTGAACATCTGGGGCCTGTACAGCAAAGCAAGATTTGTTGGTTAGCTAGACCAACAACTTGTTGGGTTTGAGGTACCCCATTTTAAATGGATTTTATTTTCATTCCCTTGTTAACCCAAAAATCCAGTTCCGTGACAAAACTGAGTTTATACTAATGGGCCCTAAATCCATCCTCAATAAAGGTGGTTTGTTTCCACTCCTTAGCACATAAGTTCATCCCTCTTCTACAGTTTGAATCCATGGTGTAATTCTGGACCCTTCTCTCTCATTAGACAGCCATGTTTCATTCAACAGGAAAACCTCCTTTTTCCTCCTATATAACATTGTCTATATCAGTCTTTGCCTCTCCCAGCCTACTGCTGAATCCATGCCTTAATTTCCAGCCACCTCGAATACTGTGACTCCCTCCTGATTTGGTGTTGGATCCAAATTTCTGCACAAACTTGAAATGGTCCAGAACTCTGTAGCTCACCACCTCACCAACATTCAGACCCACCTTACATCTCTCCTGTTCTTTGTGACCTGCACTGACTCCTCGTGAAATTTCACATTTGAATCAAATTTCTTCTTTTGACCTGTTAGGCCTTTAACAGTCTTACTCCCGCCTTATCTGTCTGATCTTTTCCTGCCCTTCCAGCCCCCTCGCCCTCTTTTTTCCACTTCTAGGCTCCTGAGTGTTCCTCCTTCCAAACACATCTTTGGTGATCCAGCCTTCATCTTTAGAATTCCCGTCCCTTTGATAACTGTAACTCCCCCTCTTTCCCAGTCTTCAAATCTGACCTTGAAGCCGTTTTGTTCTCCCAAGCTTTCTCGTTTTCTCTTCTCTCCCGGGGAGAAGTCTCCCCCCCGCCCCCAGGATTACCATGCTCATTGGCAAGTTTTATCTGTGGCGTTGTCAGAAGTAGGCATGTAACTTTTCCCGATTTAAGAGATATCGAGGTGGGGTTTTTGAAGCTTCGCTGACTTTAAATGTCCCAGCCAAAAAAAAAAAACTGCTCTGCAGGATTTCACCTGTTAAGTCCTGTAATGGTTGTATGTGCTGGATGTGTGGAAGCTTTGGTTTTTAATGTTTTTTTTCCTGTTCTAGGTACATGGAGTGGGCTGCTCTTTGTATTTGAAGTGAATTAAATGAATGTGGATAGCTGTTAGATTCTCAGACTCGGGATGGCCCTGGAATTGGAGTGTATCATTTCTAAGATAAAGGTCCTAAACGTAACAGTTCCCCTGTCTTCTGTCTTTCAGGTTGATCTTCTGGCCCTATGGCCTGCATCACCTCTAATCCAGGCCAGATCAATGGCTACAACATGAGAGCACAACTTCAGGTCAATGGTGTGTAATAACACATGAAATTTTCAAATAATCAAACAATTTCAAAAACTTGTGGGTGATTTTGTCTATGAAAATGTATTAATTTCCAAAGCCCAGTCAAATAATTGGTTATTTTCTTGTGGAAGGTTCACGTAATCTGTAATCGATTGGAGAAATGATTATAAGCACAGTTTGAGGGTGTCTAGTTGTGTTTGCAGCATATATTTTGAAACTCACTGCATTTATCTGATTTTAAAAGGTATCATCCATGTTGAGACTAGTGCATTGAATTCAGCAAAAAAAAATACAATGCATTTTATTATACCAGCTGTTTTTCCCACCCAAACAGTGTTGTCAGCCAAGCTGAGAGAGAACAAAAAGAACTGGTTTGGTCCTAGTCCTTATGTGGAAGTTGCAGTGGACGGCCAGTGCAAAAAGACAGAGAAATGCAACAAAACCCACAGCCCCAAGTGGAACCAAACGCTCACAGTGTAAGAACCATTGCATCTCTCCAATGTGACAGTCAGCCTTATGTCAGGGTGGTGAAGTTCCCCTCGCTCATCTTCCCCTTCATTTGCTCTACTGCCTTTTATAGTTTCAGTCTGAGCAGTTTAAAGGTCACTGGCCTTTCTGCTGTTGTCGGACTTGAGTGGCTTTATTCTACAACAAACAACAACAAATTTATTTTTGTATAGCGCATTATCACAACATTACATTGTCCCAAAGCGCTTTACAGCATCCCCACCCAAAGCCCCCAGTGAGTAAGCCATAGGCGACAGTGGCAAGGAAAAACTCCCTAGAAGGAAGAAACCTTCGGAGGGACCAGACTCAAAGGGGGTGCCCATCCTCCAGGGGCCGGCAAGGAGAGTCAAATACAGTTAAATCTGAAACACAAACGGGGAGCAGGGGGGAGATAACAAGCCGGTGCCACCACTCCCTCCAATCGCCAGGCAGCCAGAAGGCAGGGAGCGGGTCACACAAGGAAGATGACACAGGCAGAACGGCGAGCTGGATGCACGGACGACATTGGTAGTGGTGACGTCACATGTTGCAGGGT